ACACGTATTTTTTTCTTTGTGACCAGAAAACGTAGAGGCGACCACGAAGTTAACCACAATTAAACGACCAACCTTATCAACATTAAAAGGTACTTAAAAAAAAAAAAGAATTATTTTTAAAGACGTTTTTGGACTGGCATTAGAGAGTTTTAGATTCACGTTTCCTCGCTATGACGGCAAACCGCAAACCGCTGTTACACGTTTGCAGTTAGAATTTTGACGTTGAAACCATGATACCTTTTAGATTGGCGTTTACACTTTAACCTCAAAGTAGGGAATTGGTCATCGAGGGCCATTAAAAAGGTGTCATATTCTTTGAAAATAATAATAATAATTTAAGACAACACAACCACATGCAGAAGCACAATGTTTTCTTTAGTGTCAACATGGTGAAATAAAAGGACTGAAATGCATGCTTCACATGGAAACAGTCCTGTCGAAGCCGCCATGCTTATTTTTCTTCATTGCTATGTCATCACTTAAAAATGACGAAAATTGATAAATACTTCGTCGTTGAATTCTATCTAAACACTGTCATTTGAGAAGAAAAGACATATAACATTATTAATTCGAGCCTTAAACGTGGGTTTCTTGAATTAAAGTTATATAAAACCCTTGCCGTATTTCACCTACCGCTAGAAGGTGTCTTTGGCGTAATTACGTGAACTGCAGACGTCTAACCTGACCGCGAGACCTAGGTCACGCGATATTTGGAGGTTTGCGGTTTGCGGTTTGCGGTCATAGTAAAAAACGTCAATCTCAAACTCTCTATTGCATTTTCTCAATTAACTTACAATTGTGAGGTTATTGAAATCCTGGCAAAAATCAGACTACTTCCCTTTCCATCCCCTCAAACTGTGTTGCAAAAATAATAACAAAATGTGCGTATTATAATGGTAATCATTTATCTGAACAGATAAACTTTTACTTGGTTTTCTTCAGCGTATTTAAATTTAATTAATTACCGTCAGTTTGAAATGCCATTTTCCACCATTTCCCCGTGTAATATGGGTTTCCTATGGAATCCTTGATCCAACCCTGAATATTTTGTTCATTTTGCAGAAAATACAACTGATCTTCCAATAAACTCAACAGAACCGAGACAACCAGTATTGCCACTTTTAAAGGGTAACCATTTTGAACCAAAGTATCTAAATGTTTAGCATGTTTTATAGATATATTATTTGAAATGCTTTGCACAAATTTATATTTMTTGTGGATTAATCTTTCAAATTCCCTTAAATTACACAAAACGAAACAAATCGTTTGACTTAATACCACCAAAATTAAGTCACGAAGCATGCCTTACAACCATTGAAGTGTACTTTTTCATAATATTTAACAGTACATTTTAAGTTTATAATAACAATAACTTGCTTGTTCCGATCGAACTAACATTCGTTTGGTCGTTGGCAAGAGCATTTGTGGTTATGTGTACTTTAACACACACTAAATTCCCAAAAACGTTTTTTGAATATGCCATTCCTGGTTACTTGCAGTTGAATTAATCTTGGTCGAATATTCCTTTACTTAGCTGCTTGTTTGAATGATGGGACATCCTAGTTGTACTCACTGTCATTTTGTCTGGCAAGACCAGTGTTCATTAGTTGGCTCAGGTTTTAATAGTATTTGTGTTTGTATCTTTTGCTTTATTGTCTTTTATCCTTTTCTGCTTTTCTCTGCAGCAAGTCATATGATCAATAAATCTTTCTCTGATAATATCGTCAAATCTTGGAACAATAAGTCTTTGATCATACGCTGTTTCGTTATCGGAACAGCAAGGCCGCATATTATATGGTACAGCCCTATTGGCAATGATATCACTAACTCTAGCCGTTTAACTAAAGAAGGAAGTCAGCTATCAGTGATAACGTTACAAGACACTGATTATGGTATATATACCTGTCTTGCAAAGGACATCTTTGGCTTTGRCCAGCATGAAATTAACGTAACAAACTCGTGTAAGTACATCGTTATTTATCAAAAAGCCTAAAGCGACAGAAATACAGTGCAACATAGTGCGCAATCGATGCTGAAGTGTAAAACGATACGATCCAACATAATATTAGTGCAGTATTGCGCACAATGTTACACTGTGTGTCATCACCTCAGAGTATAACAAGAGTGGGAGGAAGCTAGCTATAAGTTAAAGCTGTTATTCTAACTGTCATTAAGGTATTTGTCCAACCATCAAGAAAAGACGCAAGGCGAGAGCTCTGATAGAGAATAAACATCCCAGTCATAAAAAGAGTAATCCGGGATTGAAACGTAAGCATAGTCTTAATGATTTTTTTGTTTGATTTTTTTGTTTGCTTCCTGGCGGGGCGATTTTTTTGCTTGTACATAATTATGTAGTGATTGGCATTTTTTCCTCATACGTACCTTTATCTTCTTTACTATCCATCCTGAGATTGGCTGAGTTGGAATTCTATTCCATTGTGGGACTGTTTTAGACGATGGAATATATTTGTATATATATTTTAGTTTTGAAACGTATTCCCTAAAACAGTCTCACAATGCACTCAATGCTAACTCAATGCCCACATACTAGACCAAGTCTTTTTCAGAACCTATCTAGGAATTGCTAATTGATCTAACTTTATAAGCCAGTTCGGAGTTCCGTTTTCAGTGCGCATGCGATTTTATCTCGAATTTCTCATCTTTTCTCGTTTTAATTAAATAAAAGAAGATGAGAAATTCGGGATAAAATCGCATGCGCACTGAGGAAAACGATTCATAAACTTTGAACTGGCTTATAGTCCTTAACGAATTCGCTCAATGGATTACGAAATAATGTCATCAAGTCGTGGTTGGAAAAATCAAAAAATCAAAAATGAAAAAAAACAACAGAATGAATGTATGAAAACAGCAACGACAACATCTGTCGGCTTGCAGCCACTGGATCAAGGCCAATTAAGCGAATTTGAGAAGAGCATATTGTTGGCGTGCCACACAACTCAAATTTGTGTCAGGAAAAAATAAATCAAAATAAAAAAAATAACACAGTGGCCGTGTTGGTTGATCTAACAATAGAAGCTAGCTAAATAGAAATGCTTTGTATAGTTGACCAACACGGTTGCTATGACGTTGCATGTACCCCAAAAATTCTCAAAATTTTTTTTATTTATTATCATTTAGATAAAAAGCTGTATGTCGTATGCTTGGGTATCATTGGCGTTTCGTGGGTCGTCAGCCTGTTTCTGATATTGAAATTTTGAATCATAACTAAACATGAGGTAGGTGACTTGAGTAATTGATTATCTAAATATTCGTAACTAGAGAGGACTGCGATGAACAAAATGGTAAATAGATCATCGACCCACATTTACTTACATGGGGGTTGAATGGTCCTACTTGCTATTACATGATAGTTATTATTCACTATGACTTCAGATCAAAACAAGCCAAGCTG